GCATCCGCTCCGCTCCAGGGGGAATCTTGTATTCTCCGCCGGGTAAATCGGCCTCCGTTCCGCTCCGCTCCGGGGGATCTTGTATTCTCCGCCGGATAAATCGGCTTCCGTTCCGCTCCGCTCCGGGGAATCTCTGGATTCTCCGCCGGGTAAACCGGCTTGCGTTCCGCGCCGGGGGAATCTTCCGATTCTCCGCCGGGTAAACCGGCATCCGCTCCGCTCCGGGGGAATCTTGGATTCTCCGCCGGGTAAACCGGCACCCGTCCCGCTCCGCTCCGGGGGAATCTTGGATTCTCCGCCGGGCAAACCGGCACCCGTTCCGCTCCGGGAGAACCTTGCATTCTCCGCCAGGTAAACCGGCACCCGCTCCGGGGGAATCTTCCGATTCTCCGTCGGGCAGACCGACTAAAACCGTGACTTTCTCGCCTACCGTTCCGAGAAGCACCGTGACTTTCTCACGCCTTATTCTGAGAATCACCGCACCGTGAATTCTTCCGTTTATTCAGCTATTTTCTGTTAGTTATTTGTTTTGTATATATTATTTTTAATTCTATTTTTATTTGAATATATCTTGTTCTTTTGTTACTTGAAACTACCGAGTCCACTCTCTTTCTTACCTGTTCCTGGAATCCGACGAGCTACTCTGCAGCAATTAAAAGATATAAAACAACGGAATATTTTCTCCCGAAAAATAGAACCGTTACAACGTTCACGTTAGTTGTAATTTCCCACTCATACCAAATTGCAGTTATATAATCTGACTATAACATGTTACTAAAATGTTATATTACTGTTGCAGTAGTAACTGAAAGGTTATATAACAATTATATAGATTACTAAAAAGGTATATAACTGCAATATAAATTAATTAATTGTTATTGAAAGTGTTATATAATTATTCTTTTATTTGTTATAAACTAGTACTATAACTATTTAAAAAATGGTCAAAGCCCGAAGCACGGGTGTTTTTAGGATTGACTGGTCAATGCACGAAACAACCAAGCGTCTTGGTCAAAGCCCAAAATAGTTTTTTTTAGCGTACTTTTTATTGTACGCTACTGTATCGTAGTGACATATATAGAATAGATTAGTTAGGTTAGGTTAGATTAGGTTTTCACGGGGGCTCAAGGCCCGCCCCTTGCGGTGCTTCCGGTGCCTACGCCCGGGCCACACGGGGCACTTCTGCCCCAGAAGTGAACCAGACCGCAGCGGCCGCTGCTACCGCTGCGGTCTGAGTGGGCACTTGCTCCGGCAGTGCAAGGCTCCGGAGCCTAGATGCCCACTGTGTGGAGATCTGGGGCGCCCCTCCCGGCACGTGCTGGGAGGCCCCAGCTGTCACCCCCCTCCTGCTGCAGCGGATGGCCTAGCTACCACGTTTGCGAACCCAGCCACGCTGGCGGAGGGGGTGGCAGGAAAGCGCAAAAGGAGGGAAAGTCCATCGGGCGAAGATTCCCCACCTACTGCGGGAAGGTCTTCTTCTCCGCAGCCGGAGGTCTCCGGGCCGATGGATTATGAGTCGGCGGAGGCGGGCGTCGATCCCCCTCGTGGGGCTGCCGCCTCTCCGACTCCATCACCATCCCGGGGGAAGGAAGAGGGTGCTCCTCCCTCTGGTTCCGGGAGAACTTGTTCTCCAGATTCCAAGGAGGACAACCTATCTCCCTCGCTAAGGGAGAGGAGGGCAACCTCCCCGGTACTCTCGTCCTCTTCAGCTTCCTCTAAGGAGCTGAAGATGGACCCGCGCAGGGCGCTCGCGGCCTTGCTCGGACCGGGGGGGCCGAAGAAGAAGGTCCGTCCTGGACCTGCTTGCTCCAAGCCTAAGTAAGGACTTGGTAAGCGGCAGCCCAGGACCTAAGAGGGGGGAGGACCATAGCACTTGCTATGGCCAGTCAATGGGGTCGGGTCCACCCCCTTGGAGGTGTTTGACCCGGGATTTCGGTCCAGCGGCGGCGAAGCGGGGCTGTGTCCCCTCGCTTCGTCGCGGGGGGGGGGGGAGTGTTAGCTTTCTTCCACCATTAGGTTACGGGGCGCAAGCCCATACCTACCGGGCTGCCTCTGGGTCGTTCTAAAAGAGGTACCGGGGCAGCCCTAAAAGGGTGGAAGGGGGACACCGCAGGGGTTTTAGTGGGTATTCCCCGCCGGGGTGCTCTCTGGCGGGGCGAGTCCCACACTATCCTGGCCCAGACCTAGTCTGGGTCAGGGTGTGCGTAAACGCATTTCCCCTGCGT